CTTTCATATTTGTAATTGACAGCATCATTTCCAAATTTCATATTTGATACCAACTGAAAGTGTGCTTTCTGCAGATTTTATAATTTTTTCCCTTATAGATGATAGATACCTCTGTCTATCCCTCAGTTCATCCATCCATCCAACTACTCAGTCTGCACCCCTTACCTACAGGGCTTCCTGCTGGGAACTGCATCATTAGACTCATCATTGTTTTTAGAACATCACAGTGCATATTTACACCAATGTCACTGGGCAATAGAAATTTATGGAACCACGCCATGTCTTTGGTCCATCATTGACCAAAATGCCTTTATGTGGTGCATTATTTAGATTCACTGAATCTACCTGCAAACATATTCCATTACCAATTTATGTTGTTGGAGGAAAAGTTTGCTCAATGACTGTCTGCTGGCACAACAGTGGTTTTATTGGATTTTAGAAAGCCACTGTGCTGCTTCCTGCCCTTTAGAAAGCCACCTCTAAAAGTATTGAAGGTGACATCCTTTCTTCAAATATTATGATCAGGAGGAGGCTTTGTGTATACTGGATTTTAAGGACACTTGAGGTAGGCAGCAATTAATTTGATTCTTGATAAAAGCTTTTGGACATGTATATTTTATTTGGCACTTTTTTGCAAATCTCATTTTTCCTCTTCAAAACAATGCCTGGTGGTGTGGAATTCTTCCATAAAGCATTCGTTCATCTCACCATTTTGTCTAAGGTAAAAAAAAATTGTATAATGTCTAACTTTTACATACATGTGTACAAAAGTGTACAGTGTGTTAAATTTAGCAATAATATCATCTCAGAGTCATTATTAAACTTATTTTAGCCCAATACATATCACCTTCCTGCTAAAATAAACAGAGTGATCTGGCTCTAAGGTATCAGAAATTCACTTGGAATAGATATCCAGATATAAAAATATATACATACCTTCAAAATACCCCGAGTTCAAGTACAGCCAGTTTCCTTTCTGCTTGCTTGTACCACAGTATCATAAGGTCAGAAGAACAGCTGCAGCTTTCTTCTGTTTCCTCTTAGTGCTTGTCTTTGACCTTCTCCTCTCTGATCATGTATCTGGGTGTCTGAGTATCGGGGTTCTTGCTTTTAGCCTCTCAGAAAAATCAGTGGCAATTGCCAATAACCATTTAGCTTCCAGTTCTCTGAAAGGGATGGGGGAGGAAGACCTATGTACAGAGTAGTCTTGCTGCATTCTCTGGCACAAAGGAAATGTACTACGCGGGAGGTGAAGAGGGTCACTGTTTGAATTTGAAGATGTGCTCTATTTTCCTGGTACAAGACATATTCTGGTATTCTTGGAAGTTCTTCTGTTTTTATAAATCACATCTAGTTGCACCTTGATGCATTGTGTGATGAGCCATGCATATTTTATTTCTAATAAAATATGTTTCTAAAATTAAATGCATGTACATATACATGTGTATACACGTGCATTTTTAAAATTTTGTAAATTCATCTTATACACATAGGGAGAACATCAAGGAAAGACATTTTGTGACAGCGTATCTCTATTTGATGTTCATCACTTGATTACTTTTTAATTACTTTGCGCTATTTATTGAATTTTGATAAATGGTATCCTCTCAAAGATATCAGGGTGTTCTTGACCTGTTATTGAATAAGCATGAAGGAACCAGCGAATCCTGGTGTGTGTCTGATAAAAGAGACATCCAGTTTCCCCTGCAGAAACCTTCCAGGCTCCCTACCTGAGCAGTGAAGAGCAGTCTGGAATTCCTGCTGAGGAACCTGCTGCTAAACTCTGGAGGAGGAGCAAGGAGAGCTAGCAGGGTCTAAGGGAATCCCTCCAGGGCAGAGTGCACCTCCAAGATGTGGACGCTGCCTTGGTTTTCTGGATGTGGATTCCTTTAATGCTCCGGTATGGGTATTAGCAATTTAAAAAAATAATAATAAAAATTTAAAAAAATAAAATCATTACTAAAGGCACAGCTGTCCTCTGTCCTAAGCATTCTGGACTCATTTGCATTGTCCCCCTCAGTGCAGCATGAAAGAGTGAAGGAAAGTGAATCCTGTGAAGACTCAGGTTGTAGATATCCACTTCCCACGGCAACCTGTCCCCCACCATTTGGGGTTAGTATACTTCATTCCATAGACCCAGCTCTGTGCAGGTCTCCACAGGGCACTGTTAAGTGTCGTCTCCCTCAAGATGAATGGAACCTAGGCAGGCAGCAGAGATTTCAGAGCCCTCACAGCTGCTAAAATGTCAGGGCTGAGAGTCTAAGATTGCTTCCCATGCCGACCCAAGATGAGTTGTTCACCTGCCTAAGAAAAGCACAAACTTCAGACAGAGGCAATTCTCTGAGTATCCATCATGTTGCTGGTGTCTATCAGCAGTTTGGGTGGAATTTTGAAATCCATGCTTGGTTTATGTTTAAGGTTTTCCTAAAGATTTACTATTCATTGTCCCTAATAATGGAGAGAGAGATTTATTTCTTATCAACGATTTAAAACAACAATGTATACCACTTGGGACAGAAAAATACATGCCAAGCTAGAGGTTTGTTTTTTTTGTTTTTTTTTTTTTTTTTTTAAGTGCTGAGGATGGAATCCAGGGACTCACACATGCTAGGCAAGTTCCCTAGCATTGAGCTACATCTCCAGCCCTAGAATTGTGTTTTAAAAACATAGAAATACTCTCATTCATCTCATTCAATTTGGAATATTGGTTATGCACCTACTATAAGCTATGCCAGGACACAAAAAAGAGAAGGATTTCATCACTGGCTCAGAAGAGCTTTTGGTTTAAGAGAAGACATTGCCATCATCTGTTTCCACAGTAATGCTGTGTAAAAAATCACCCTCACACTCGGTGCCTTAAAAGAGTTAGTTATTCAAGCTCAGGTCTGTGGTTCTTTTGGGCATTGGTTTCAACTTGGTTCTAAGCTGGAAGTCAGGGGCAATTCTGTGTGCCCTATGGATCTGTCCCTATCCTAATAGCCAGGACTAGCCAGGCATGTTCTTAGCATAAAAGATTAAAAATCAAGGCCAGGACTGGGGTTGTAGCTCAGTGGTATAGTGCTTGCCTCTCACATGTGAAGTGCTGGCTTTGATCCTCAGCACCACATAAATAAATAAAATAAAGGTATTGTGTCTACAACTAAAAATATATTTTTAAAAAAAGAACCAAACCAAGTGCAGAAATGGCTTTCTTCTACCATTATTTCCAAAACGGGTTACCTAGCCAAGCTCAGTATTGCTGGACTGAAGAAATGTACTCTGATTTGGAGGAACTTCAAAGTCACATGATAAGGAGATGGGAATATAGGGACGTAACCTTAAGAAAAAATAGTACAATGAACATATTAGGGAAAGATAAATTCATGTATGCTTGAATAACAAAGGATGGTGGTTTCTAAGGGGAATGGATCCTACTCAAAGACCCTAGGAAAATATTTGTAGACGAGGTACCATTTACACTCAGTCACAAACAGTATCTGCATTTCAAGAGGCAGACATGGGGTGCAGAGCAATAATTCAAAGGAGCTGCATGAGCAGTATGAACATGTGTAAGTCATTTTCAGTGATAGGTTACAAATAAATAAATGAAAAGAAAAGAACTGCTGTAGTAGAACAAGAAAAGCTGCAAGAAAACTACAAATAGATGCTCAACAGAGGTGGCTAGGCCTCAAAAATTCTTGTGTAACATGTTAGTGCTGGAAGTTCTTTGAAAAGATGGCAAGAACATAGTTACCAGGGAATGAAATGTGGTAGCACACACAAGGACAGATTTTTTTTGCTTAAATCTTTAGAGCTATAGGAAATGACTTAGAAATTGTCTAGCCCAACCACTTATTCTATAAGTGAAGAAATTTGCATGCTGGAAATAAATTCTTTTTCTTGTATGTATGTGTGATATAAATCGCATAATATATTTAATATATTAACATATTTTCATATAAAATAATAAAATGTATACTCAGGAAATAAAAATTTCTTCCTAAATTAACCTATTTGTATAGAATGTATAATGTATAAACATATTTGTACAAAGACTAAATTCATTCTCATATATATTGAAAGAGGGAGAGTGAAAAAAGCATGTTCTTCAATGGAGGGTTTAAAGACATCTTCATCCCCTTAAAACTTACAAACTGCAGGTGTTCTCATCAAGTGATCTTTCTGGTTTCAAGGAACAGAATATTGCTCACTTATTCAAATGCAAAGAGAAGGTTGTTTCTAAAAAGGAAACAAAGATTTCCCCAGATATTCAAGGACTGGACATGCCCTTTGAAATGCTTGGCCTAACAGAAGAAGTGGGCTGGCTATTCCAGAACTTTCATCAAAATAACGTGTCCTAAATGCCCCTGGGGCGTGTGAGGCAGAGAGCAGATGTTCTCTACCCCCACTCCCTGGTCTGCCCTCCTCACTTGTAAATGGTCATAATCATCCACTAACCAAAACACAATTAGAAAAGTCAGTTTATGTCCCTAATGTATGAATTTTCTGCCCAGAAAAGAAACAACGAAACTTTGAAGCTGTTTCCTTTGGATGATTACCATTAATACAAAGGGGAGATCAAGCAAAGGATTGGAGGCAGGGTGGGATATTTGTCCCCTGGTCTGAACAGGGCCTGTCTAGCTGGTCTCCTTTTATAAAACAAGTTTTACTGAAACAGCAATGCCTGTTCTTTCTATGTTGTCGAAGGCATTTTGGGCACCACAATGGCAGGCATGAGTCGCTGTCATAGAGGCAGCCCTATGGCTGCAACTGCAACGTCTCAGAGTGTAAATGGCAATTTGCTCACTGCTGGTGTAGATCACAGAGGATTCGCATCTTTCTGGGATGGGTGCTTCTTGCATGTGCTTCTGCCTCTGGGGATGGTCAGGAGTGAAGGATCTCAGTGAGTCCAACCACTCACTTGTGTGAGCCTTCTCCGAGAAACTGGTGCTTCTCCTTCCTTCCCAGGGTTCGCTGTAAGACCACCGTCCTTTAACCCTTTGTTCTCTATCCTTTGCCAGACTCCGACCTGAGCATGCGCACACTGAGCACGCCCAGCCCAGCCTTGATATGTCCACCGACTTTACCAGGATTTCAGAATGGAAGGGGCTCATCCACCTCCTCGTCCTCTGTCACCGGAGAAACGGTGGCCATGGTCCACTCCCCGCCCCCCACCCGCCTCACACACCCGCTCATCAGGCTCGCCTCCAGACCCCAGAAAGAGCAGGCCAGCATAGACCGGCTCCCGGACCACTGCATGGTGCACATCTTCTCCTTCCTGCCCACCAACCAGCTGTGTCGCTGTGCACGCGTGTGTCGCCGCTGGTACAACCTGGCGTGGGACCCGCGGCTCTGGAGGACTATCCGCCTGATGGGCGAGACCATCAACGTGGACCGTGCGCTCAAGGTGCTGACCCGCAGGCTGTGCCAGGACACCCCCAATGTGTGTCTCATGCTGGAAACAGTAATTGTCAGTGGCTGCCGGCGGCTCACAGACCGAGGGCTTTACACCATTGCCCAGTGCTGCCCCGAACTGAGGCGACTGGAAGTCTCAGGCTGTTACAATATCTCCAATGAGGCCGTTTTTGACGTGGTGTCCCTCTGCCCCAATCTGGAGCACCTGGACGTGTCAGGTAAATGGAAGCTGCCCTCCCAGCACCGGCTTTCTCAATGCACCATCCCAAAGTTAGTAGAGACATTTCCACCCAATTGAGGGTCCCCTTCTTGTTGGCTACCAGAGATGGGCAATGGGTGGCCAGCTCTCCTTAACAAACTGTCTTCTGGTAATTGTGACCCTGAGGGCCATAAGTATTCCTTTCATCCAATAATGTCACCATCTTAGAAGAGCTCTAGACACCTTGTTGGTATGACTTAAATGTGACCTTCCTCTCCATAATGATCACAGTCACTTCAGAGCTTAATGGAAACAAAATATCCAATTTAGATTAAGGGAACTGAGTATCTCCAGCCTCCTTTAGAAGCTACCCTTTTGCCTACTTGCTGGTCCATAAAGCTTGAGATCTATGCCTAGGAGGTAAAAATGACCTTGAATCCTTCTTTCTGCAGACCTAATGAACCCCTCAGTCATGGCCTATGCTCACCATGGCTTTGCCCTTCCATAGACACTGGAGAAAATACTTCACGGCCAAGTGATTATTTATATTTCACTGACTCTCCTCACCTCCTGATTAATTTTAGACCTTTTTTTTTTAGTAAAAATTCTCAACTACATAGTGCAAGGATCAGGTCCATTGAATTAAACCCTTAGTCCTTTTCCGAATGGAAGGAGATCTCAGCATGGTTACTCTGCTTGAAACTCTCTCTCAGGTTTGAAGAATTAAAGCCTAGAGTCAAACTTTGGCACCACACAGGAATCCAGCCTGAATAACAGCCTCTTTTTATCTCAGGGACTGCACACTTAAAAGACGAACAGGCAAGAGGCTGGAACGTGTAAGATGTATCAGGAGTTAAAGAAATGTACAACATGAGCTGCAACCTCAGGGATGGTTGGGGAGGGAGTCAAGCAGGAAAAACCACCATGAAGGGCAAATAAACAGAATTGGGGATTTACAAGCATCTGAGGTAAATGATGCCCTCCAACCAAATATGAGGTAAATCCACTCTCAGCTTGCTCTCTCTTTTGAAAGCTGACATCTGAAACTATTTCAGATGACAGGCCATTATTTTTTGCAGATTCCTTCCCTTGGTGGAAAGCAGCATGCTGCTCCTCTGCTTCAACTTCAGCTGGCTTCAGGACAAAACCATAGCAACTGAGTGTTTGGTTAGTCCTGAGCAGCCACCGGCATGAAGAAGCAGGAAATTAGGAGGTTTTCTTACATTTTTCCTCCAAGGAATTCTGGAAAAGAGAAAGCATTATGATGTGGTAGAAACTTGTTTCAAAACTTTGTGATTTGGGACAACTTAGAGTTTTTTTCTAGATGTATTTTCTCTTTAGTTGAAAAAAAATAAGTAGAGTGGTGTGCTTTAACATTCTAATTGAGCATTTTATAAACATTTTATTTTCTCAGATTAGAGAATGATTCATTTTTGGAATCCCCATCTTTGTTAAAGAGATCTCCCACGTATCCTTCACACAGACTAAAAGTAGTTGAACATTCTATTTTGGGTCCTTTTTGAAATTCAGATATGCTAAAACCATGTTGGCTATTTGGGAAATCCCTGGACTTCTGTCCTGAGTGATCCTGCTTTGTCTATCGAGTAACAGTTACTAGTCTTGAAATCTGTTCGCTACATCAACCTGACTAATTTGCAGGTTCCAGGCCATCTTCACTGTGTCTTGTTCTCCTTGTTTTTTTGCTCAGTATGTTTCCCCTGTGCCTTGTTCTCCTGGTTTTACAACCACCTTCAGAAAGTAGCAACACTCTCAATGATGCTAAAGGTGACTTTCATTCAAGCTGGTCAAGAGCTCTAATACCCTAGAGGGCATGATATTGCCTGTCCTGCAACTAGCAAGGCAATAAATGCCACCATTGAAAGTCACTGAAAATTATTAAAATCAGCTATAATGTTTTATCATATCACAGAGTGAACAGAGGAGTGAACAGAGGAGTATTGAAGGCTTCAAAAGGTAGTAGTCATCTTGACCTCTAGAAGGTTGGAAATTTGCATTGGTTAAAGCTATAAGCAAGCATTCTGGATGCTGTATTGCAGCAATTAAAGCTTCCTCATCAGGAAGAATGGTGCTTGGAGGTTCAATGCATTAATCACACAAAGGTCTCATGTGTGCACTCTGCTGAGAACATGCAGCACTCAGAAATCACAGGGGTTGCTGTACTGTCATTGTTATTAACATCCTGAGGAGTCAGTAGTTGGTCTCCACTGACTTGGCTATCTTACATCCCAGAGAAAGCAGAGATGTTAACCCAATAGCAAGAGGAAATGTTAACGAAGAGCAAATTTGTGAAAACTGAATGAAATCTGGAATTAATTAAAGGAGCTCCACAGGTTTGTTCAACCCATGCTGTCTATTCCCTATGCAGTAATATCCCTTTCAGACACCCTGAGTTCTTCTCTGTGGACACTCCTCACTCCTCCATGGACTTGCCTCCATGCTTTCTTGCTACTCAAATTTGCCTTGATATTATTTTACCACCAGGACCTCCATATCTAAAATATCCAAATTATTTTTCTCTTTCAAAGATCCCCTTAGGTTTCACCACTTTCAAGACTGCCAGTTCCTGAGTATCTGAATGTTCACTTCATGCTCACCCATCAACTATAAATCTCTTGTGTCATTCATCAATTTTGTGATACATCCTAGTCATTTTTCTCTCCCATCTTATAATTGAAGCCCTGAAAGTCAAGAAACTTACCCTAGCAGAGGTGTAGCTCTGTGGTAGAGCATGTGCTTAGCTTGCTAAAGGCCCTGGCTTCAATCTCCAGCCACACACACACACACACACTCACACTCACATACATACACACACACTCACACACACTCACACTTACACACACACACACACTCATACAAAAGGAAAAAAGAAAGAAAGAAAGAAATTTAAACTAACAAACGTCCCCTGATCTGATTGTATGATCCCATAATCTCACTGAGTTTGAAATGCCTCAGCCTTTTAAAATGAAGCTTAAATTGCATAAATTTCTAGGGTTTGCTCCCTAGAAATTATTACAATAATTTCATGTCTGTAAATATTATCTACTGATCCATGGACCAATTTATTTTCTTTTCAATACAAATTTAGTAAAAATATAAGAATTAGGGATAAAACTAACATTAAAAATTACTGAATACAGTACACAGAGCACTTTAGATCAATAAGTTGATCAATAAATAAATTGATCAATAAATCAATTCAGAACTGAATACAGTCATCCCAATAAAATAGACATCAAGCAAACAGAGTTCAAAGTTAAAGTTGCTAGGGGACTAACCACCTCTCACAAAGCCACAGAGTCCGATGGCACAGCAGCCTGGCAGCCTCTAAGAGGCTCTGTGCACCTCTGTATCCCAGGGTTGGACTGTGTGCTTCACTACCTCCTGAAATTCTGTCAGGAATGAGACAGACATTATTACCTTATATACGTGTATGATCATACTACTGGAGTGATTCTGCACCAGGTACAGCCAGAGGATTGAGAAGTTGTGCTCCATTTGTGTACAATATGTCAAACTGCATTCTATAGTCATGTATAATTAATTAGAACAAATTTAAAAATTAAAAAAAAAAAAAACAGAGTTGCACCCCTGTGTCCCAGGGTTGGACTGTGTGCTTCACTCCCTCCTGAGATTCTTGACTTGGTAGCACATGACATTTGTACCCTGTTATTCCCAGCACCTGTATTTATGAGTTTCCTGGGCAACCTGCCAGGAGATGGGAGAAAAGTCCCAAGAGCCCTGCCGTGCAGCCATTCAGAAACCTTGGATGTTGCACTGAGAGCCAAGATTCAGAGGTGTCTGCAGTGAAGCACCTGGCTTTAGAACTGCAGGAAGGATTTGGAAAGTGGAGAGGAATGAAAAAATATATACAGTCTATGTAGTAGAATAAAATATGTACAAATTACTTATATAATGTGTATTGACTATTGGTATTTATTACTTATTAAATTTATATACTATGAATTTGCAGATTTTATAAGGTAACATTTAGTGAACTGAAATACACAATGAATTTTTATATATTATATACAAATATGTAATAGTTATTCTATTTAGAATGAACACATGCATATATATAAAATTTATAACACATATTTTAGGGCTTTAGAAACAATATTTAGTGATACAAGATCACGTTCAGCTTTGTCTCTCTGTCTCTCTTCTTTGGACCAAGGAGCATTCTGACCGTTGCAGGTCCTTTACTGAGCTCTTGGATCTTTCCAGGGCCAATGTAAGATATTTACACACACTCTTACTTCTTTTTTAAAAAAAAAAAATGTTATTTATTTATTTATTTATCTATTTATTTATTTTTAGTTGTAGATGGACACAATACCTTATTTTATTTGTTTATTTTTATGTGTGCCAGGGATCCAACCTAGGGTCTCATGCATGCTAGAAAAGCACTCTACCACTGAGCCACAACCCCAGCCCACTCACTCTACCTTTTCCAGATCATGATCATCCTTCCCAAACATTCCTGGTGAAATGGATTTGCTCCGTTTCAGGCAATTAGTGATGGATCAGTAATGGATCTTTGTCAATTTTGATCCATCAGAATTGGCCTGGTCTTTTGCATTCTAAATTCTATGAATCCCCATAAGCCCAAATATTCAAAATAGTTAAATAATCGAATGAACATAGGGAACCCTTCCTCGCCTTATTTTCTCTGTAGGGGTCAAGACAGGAAGGGTAACACCCTGGCTTGAGCTTGGGGGAGAGTTCGGAATAGGTAATGGCCTTGCCCCAGGTTGCTCTGAGCATGTGTTCTGTTTCTTTGTGTAGGGTGCTCCAAAGTGACCTGCATCAGCTTGACTCGGGAGGCCTCCATTAAATTGTCCCCCTTGCATGGCAAACAGATTTCCATCCGCTACCTGGACATGACGGACTGCTTTGTGCTGGAGGACGAGGGCCTGCACACCATCGCAGCACACTGCACGCAGCTGACCCACCTGTACCTGCGACGCTGCGTCCGCCTCACCGACGAGGGCCTCCGCTACCTGGTGATCTACTGCACGTCCATCAAGGAGTTGAGTGTCAGCGACTGCCGCTTCGTCAGTGACTTCGGTCTGCGGGAGATCGCCAAGCTGGAGTCCCGCCTGCGGTACCTCAGCATCGCCCACTGTGGCCGGGTGACCGACGTGGGCATCCGTTACGTGGCCAAGTACTGCAGCAAGTTGCGCTACCTCAACGCGAGGGGCTGCGAGGGCATCACGGACCATGGCGTGGAGTACCTTGCCAAGAACTGCACGAAACTCAAATCTCTGGACATCGGCAAATGCCCACTGGTCTCCGACACGGGCCTGGAGTGCCTGGCCCTGAACTGCTTCAATCTCAAGCGCCTCAGCCTCAAGTCCTGCGAGAGCATCACCGGCCAGGGCCTGCAGATCGTGGCCGCCAATTGCTTTGACCTCCAGATGCTGAATGTCCAAGACTGCGAGGTTTCTGTGGAGGCCCTGCGGTTTGTCAAACGCCACTGCAAGCGCTGCGTCATCGAGCACACCAACCCCGCCTTCTTCTGAAGGGACAGCTTTCATGGGGAGTGGTCTCCATACAAACACGAACCAAACAAGATGTTCTTTAAAAGCAGCATATGTAAGCACCGACACCCACTCAGCAGCTATTTCTTTCAGGAAGGTTCTTAGGAATCTGGCTTTTACTTTTCCTCATTTCTCATGGGTGACACAGGTCAAAGAAATTAAAGGGTAAAGAACAGATTTCTATTGCAGCAAACAGTGTTTTTGGTCAGGTAATTTGTAAACAGCTTCTCTTCTCACATAAGATGTTCCCTTAGGCAGATGGAGGTCTTTAGAAATGTACCTTACTTTCCTCTCCACACCAGCGCTCCTGAACACAGGTCACACCCACAACATGCCACATCCCGGCCCTTAGCTCCACCCTCCCTCCATCCTCCATCCTCAACTGCCACAAGAGTATCGCAACCACAGCGCTCTCTAGAACTCCTCTTCATACTGCTGGGTTGACCTGAGCCCCGCCCCTTAATGTCACACCAAGCAAATTGTGGTTAAATAAGTGTCCTAAGTCACTTTGAATTTACAAAGAGCTTTTCAGACCTTTTTAAAAAAATCCATTGTGGCAAGCAGCATGGTGGAAGAGACCTTTGTTTTTTTTCCCCACATCTTCTGCTAACTAGCTGGATGACCTTGGCCAAAGAACTTCACCTCTCCAGGCTTCAGCTTGCAACACTGGATTAGAAGCCACTCAGCTGGAGAATTAGCCCCATGCTGGTTTTAGGATTAAGAGAACAGACATATCAATAAACAAAAACCTTAACACAGCCACATGGTCATGTACCTCTTCTAAAAGAATTGATTTTGTAGTTGGGCTCCTTTCAGGAGGTTCCACAGTGCCCATGTCAGTGCACATAGGATCCTATGTGTCCTTTTGCTCTCATGCAAGTACCACTCACTCTCAGTTTGTTTTGGTGGATGAGTCTATTGCATATCATCTCCTGCCCCTCTGGATGCTATGGTTTCTGTGCACAAGTACTTTCAGCTTTCCCCTTCTCAGCACTGTCTTAGCAGAGCACCAGAATGTCTGAACATGGGGAAGTTCAAATCCCCCAGTCAAGACTCATCTTCTGAGTGTTTTCAAAGGGAGGAAAGACCCTTGCAATTTTTAATTAACAAGTGAGGCCCAAGGGAACCCATGTCCTCAAAGGTTTTTCTAATCCCTCTCAGAGCACATGTGGCATACATCAGGCACATCTGTCCTGCAGCTGGCAGAGACAGATGCTGTGGGTTTTTGTCATTTAGATTGCATTTTGACTTTTCTCATCTATTTATTTCTTTATGCATCCAGACTTCATCACATGGAGCCTACCGGGGTTAAGTTTGTAAATGTTTAATTGTGCAAATTGCCACCTTGTGTCTCCCGCGTGGCTGTCTGCATGCATTCCATTAAAGAATACAAAGTAGACTTCCAGGTGTTTAAATACTGTGCACTTGAAACAAGTTGAAGAGGGAACACATTGATAAGACAGATGCTAGTCCACTAACCAAACCCTTGGAATAGAACATCAACATCATGACAAAATATGAATTTTAAGTGGTCGTATATGGAAATAATTGATTCGTTAGTCTATTATGTGAAATCAGGTAACCAGGAGAACTTCCATGCTTATGAAATGTAGTGTCATTTATTAGTAAACCCAGGACCTTTCCCAAATTAATCTCTGACCACACCCTTCTTCTTTGCTGCTGAAACAGCTCATGTATTTCCTCCTCAAAGGGGCCACCATCCAATTCCAGAACCTCTGCATTTCCTAGCCAACTGTGCTGACTTTGTTTCAGAGCCAGCTTACATACCACTCACTCGACAACTGCACTCCTACTGTAGGCTCCCGTGCACACTGTAGTCTTATGTCAGGAAGGAGGAGCTAGAGTGATGAGATGGAGTCTTTCCAGGAGGTTTCTATCATACATCATATGAAACATGGCTTTCTGTCCAACTGACATCATCCTCAACCCAGATACACAATCAATGCAATGTGCCATGAGGGGAGGTGACTTGTTTGGCTGGGGACAGCATTTCATGTTAGCCATAGAGTTTAGAACCATAATAGAATTTCAAAGGAACATACCTCTGGTCTGTGACTGGTGACTATCCATAGTTTCAGAATTTAGGAGTCACAGATGATTGTCCTTCACTTTTGGCTAGGGGATATTCCAGATAAGCTGGTTTAATACTCTTGGAATGAGCAGGGAGATCCAGAACAGCTCCCTGAACCATTCTGAGTGTCTCTGTCGCCACCACCCGACCACATCACCTAACCAATTTTCCAAGCATGAGACCAAGACCACTTCTCACACTGGTTGCCTGCCCAGCACATGCTGTCTTTCCCAGTTTCTCCCCTTTCCTGGTGTCCTCTTCATCCATTCTGCTCTCCCTTGGGGGTATGAATCTGTGACAGAGGTTACTGGGAAAACAGCTCAGCAGATTTTTAGAGACCAAGCAAAAGTCCTCAGCAGAAAAATTTATCTGTTTTAAAACATTGCTTCCTTCCTGGCTCTGCTAAATTGAATGCTCATTGTTTTTGTAACTCTAATGTTCAAATCACTGCGTGCTGTATGACTCTAGAAAGCCTTAATTTACTACCACCAAGAAATAAAGCAATATGTTGGTAATTAGGCTCAGCTTTTTTTTTTCTTTCTTTCTTTTCTTTTTTTTTTTAATACCCTTGTCAAAGGAGAATTGTATTCAGATGCGGATACTCAAAAGCAAGCAAGAAACTTGCTTTATGTTTAAAGACAGCCAAGTTTCTGCCACTGTCTTCTCGTCTAATGACTGGCTTAAAATTAGCACTAAGTGAAAAAAACATTGCCTTCAGTGTATAGTTCACGTCTTCAATTCCTTAATCCAAACTGTTGGTGCAGGTTTTGGAATTTGTAACTTAGCATATTTCAGGGAGCTATATGTGGTGTATTTTATAACATCCTCAGCATACACTGGGACAGCACCCTAATCAAAGGTGTTAGTATTTCCGTAGCAATACAGAACACACTCTGTGCAGGATCATTACAGACTATAAATAGCCTTGCATCAGTTCAGGTCAGATTTTGTTGCCAAATTAATTTGTGCAATAATGAAAAAAAAGTCTATTTTTCAGAACTTTCTGGGTTTCAGAATTATGGAAGAGTAATTTTAGAACTTAATATATTTTGCTCTGGCCCTGGTTACAGATATTGGAGGAATCTTCATGATTATTCTGACAATTAGATATTACAAACCCAAAAACAAATGAACAAAAATAGTGTTAGAACATTAGGACCTGGAAAGGGAATAAGGCAAGTTGATCTAAAAGGAAAAAGTGTCAGTCATTTGGAGAGAGTGCAATGCCAGATCCCTCCCTCCTCACCTAAACTTTTAGATCTGAGCTGATTGGAGAACTCCATCCTTAACACCCAGAAAGACTTGAAGAAATATTAATTTTAAATGTATTAGTCCTCAACTTTCTTCTCACCCTGGTTGCTTTAATAACTCTCACATAAACCAGTAGGACTCTTAATTGCCGTGAGACATAATTTCAGGTGGCTTAATGCACCTCTTCTCAGGATCTCAGAATAAGACTAGCTGAAAGTAAAAACCACTTGAGATTCATGACTTCTTAAGCTGACTTTTGTTGACAACTAGAAAAAGTCTTTAGGGGCTGGGTTGTGGCTCAGGGGTAGAGCGCTCACCTAGCACGTGTGAGGCCATGGTTTCAATCCTCAGCCCCACATCAAAATAAATAAATAAAATAAAGCTATTTTAAAAAGAGAGAGAGTCTTTAAGGAGTTTGATTTGATATTAAAAGTGTGCAAAATAAAAAGATTGAGTATTTTATGGAAAAAAAGTAATACAATATAACTATTTACCAGTTTTATTATGTACTGCTTTGCTGTCTAAATTATCACAGAGAAGTCACCAAAGTAGTGCATTTGTTCAATAGCTGGCAATGATTAGCTCAGAGAGAAGTTGATTGGAAGAAAGATCGACAACAGAAGAAGAAAAGGGCACATTAAAATAGGGAAATATTGCAAAGAAAATGTTGACAGAAAATCTGTGAAACTAAATTGGTTTTCCTGGTGTGTGTTGTTGGTCCACTCGTTTCTTCTTTCTGTTCTGTACACCACAAGTTGTCCATCTGAAGCAGGGAGAAATACAGCACAGGTTGGGGAGTGCCTATCATTTGTCTACGGTGGATACTGATGCTGTCACTGAGATTTTCCTAAACATAGTTCCAGTTGCGAGTAAGGTGACCACCATGTGGGTAAAGCCATTCACTTGAGGTGAGAAGTAGTCTCTAAGATACTCAGATGGGGGCTACTGCATCCAGAAATGCACCCAAATATAGTTATGCATCCTTTTCTCTTTTCATGCATCAGTATCTCCTAAGCCACAAGCCTCTCTTGTAGAGCCCTTTTTAACCTCTTAAGCAGGAGGCCATTTAGCATTTTAAGATACACTGGATGAAAGAATATTTCCACTTGTGAGTTGGAAAAGTCATAATCCCTTCCCAGCAAGAAAACAGATGTGGCCTCTCCTGCAGAGTGTGCTCAGGAAGTATCTGCATCTCAGATGGCAATCTCCTGGACGACTTAGGAAGGCGTCACTGATTGTCACTGAAGCATTTAGCAGTGAGCCTCATCCAGGTTTCTGAGGGTGGCCCTTCTGGACCACTAAAAATGCTTGACCTGAATGTTTCCAACTAGTCATTTTATATTGTGGAACATTTGTGTTTGCAGCTGCTCAGCTACTCAATTTTACTCTGATGAGATCAGCGTATTTAAGTTCTTTCCCCATCTGATGAGCAATGTCTGATGAAGACTGGAGATTGCAGTCATCTTTCTTCTGAACAAGGAAGTTCAAAAAGTTCCAATCACAAAAATATAAATAAATCTTAACTACTCATTGACCATCTATTCTATATGATATACCAAAACAGGTTCTGGTGAATAAAAGAGCTCAGATCAAGCACAATGATACTAGGTAATACGTTAAGGTTTGGTGATGAAATCTTTAAAAAGCATGGCAATATGCATTAACCCAACAAATGTTTATTAAGACCCTGATACATGTCGGGGTCCTATCCTGATTGAATTCACCAAAATAACAATGTTAAGAGAGAGAAATAAGGTTTAGGGTCACCTCTTAGGGGAAGAAACCCTTTAACTGGATTATATACACTCTTCGAAGATGGGCATCAAACAGTAACAAACTATGGTGCAGTACATGGATCCCATTCAGAGAAACTGTATTCGATAAGGTTAATGAAGTAATTTCCATAAGTTAACACTATCAAAAGATTACACTAAGGTTAACTTTATTAATGCCTTAGATCAGCTATGTAGAAACATAGCAGATTCTGTTTTGTAGACACACATATACACCAGTTGTGTATTTTATTGGATGGGAACACTGTAAGGATACCACACTGAAACACAATTTCTTTGACAAACTATCCAAGAATCTTACAACAGCTTACCTATCTTCCCAAACAGCATGCCAATAGCCGTCCAAATGCAGCTATATGACTTTGAGCCCAGCTCAGAGAAAGGGTGAGCTGCCCCCTCAGTAACCCTAGGATTCTCCTTATTTCTACTCTGATTGTTGCAGATCTATGATGGAAATGGTCAGAGTAGTCAAGGTTGCTCAATTTATCATGGCCCTTGACCGATAAACAGACCCTGCCAGTTATTTTCAGAATAGTGGGTGGCCCAAATAAGGTTGATTAAATAGCCTTTAAAATTGCCAAGAAATGGTTTTTTAATGTAAATTCACTTTGATTATGAGTTTTTTTAAGCTTCAAATTCTATCAGTGTTGTGAATGTGAAGTTATCTGCCCACAGTAATAACGAATTGAACAATGAATACCATTGGAAACTTTTAAATCCCACGTGTCTGCAGGCACTGACAGCAGCCCTTCTGGCTTCTCAGAGCCACAAGTGTCTCCCAGAATCTGAGCAGGCTTATTGAGCCAGATAGGAAGAAAAAAGATACAGGAGAGAGGATTTCTAATTACAAAGATTAACCAGTAATTGGTACTTCCTTTTTCTCTAATCTCTTTCCAACCACTAATGAACATAGCCACTCTGTATCAATACATTTTTTAAAAAAAAACAGTCTTCACATCATGAATGTATTCTTTGTAGGGATTTACATTAAAAATGCAAGCAAACTTATCATGGCCTTTTTCACTTATGAGAAAGTAGATAAAGGGACAAAACTGTCAAAACTAATAAATAACTTTTTTCTCTTATCTCACAGGCTTTTATTTATTTATTTATTTAGATGAAGACCAAAGTGGATATAATTACCTTTGAACAATTTAAAAATTTTCACTCTGCAAGAATAACTACCCAAATGCACTGGATTTCAATTATACCTTTCTCATTTTGCAATCCTTCCCCCTAATAATAAAGAAGTGTTGATTTTCCATATTTTGTTGACACTTAAGAAAGTGCCCAGATCATTTTGCCCAACAAATCCTTGCTTTAGTTGAAGAACCAGACAAGGGGGAATTCAGACCATTCCTCTTGTTTTTTGCAACCACATATGCAATTATGTGATTTATGACGTAGTTGATCTATATGAATGGCATCTGTGCAGCAAAGCCTTTCCATGAGCCCGCCGGAGCTGTGGGACTCTATGTTTATAATTTTAAAGCATGCAAAGAATAATGACCATGGGTGTGCTGGAAGGCTGGAGATCAAGAGACTGGGAATTTAAACACAAAGAGAGGCTCAAATAATGACCTCTCACTTACTTAATGAAAAACAGAGTCTCCTCCCAGATTTCCAAGCAGGCACTATTTCACTGGTACCTTCGCCTTGGGGGCTCCTGTGTAATGTTTCTTTTTAAAATAGCACACATAGGAAGGCAATGGGGAATTCAAACACTGCCTTGGGGAGAGCATTAGTCTCCCTTCCTTTGAAAACTTGTGCTTAATCCCAAATGCAAGTGGCAAAATATTTCTAAGCGTGATCATGTTATGTAATGACTCCATTTGCTTTTATAGAAAGAAAAAAAAAACACACATTCTCAGGTGCTGAGCATTTCTGTTACTTTAGTTTCACTTACCTGAAGTTCATTTTCCTTTTTGCCTTCAGGCTCCTATGACAAATCCTGCACAGCCAATAGCTAGCTAGTTCTGGCCAAGGAGGAGAGTGACCTTTCTTATCAGATGTCACTGATAAGTGATGAGTGATGCAAAGTCCTATGATGTCATCAATTCCATGGCAAAGTTCCTCTTTGGGAATTGGGAACCCAATGCTGAGCTTTGGAGGTAACTGGGATATAAGCAAAGCTTTGGGAAAATTTGACCAAAAGACACTTTTGGCTTCAACTAATAAGTACTTGGTAATCCGTATGTGATCACAAATGCAACTATTATCATTTGGATATGAGGTGTCACCAAAAGCTCCTGTGTTAATGCAGGAATATTCAGAGGTGAAGTGATTGGACTGTGAGAGCTACATCCTAATCAGTTCATTCCAGTGTGAATAGACTGTTGGGTGGTAATAGATGAGGTGTGGCCAGAGGAGGTGGGTCCCTGGAGGGCATGTCCTGGAAGGGTTCGTCTTTCTTATAGCCCCTTCTCCTTTTGCTCTCTCTGCTCTCTTGGCCCCCTGTCCTGAGCCCTTCTGCCATGATG